CAAAAAACAAAAAACCGAACATACAGAGAAATATCTTTTAAACATCCAATAAATGGCACATAGTATGGCTTTATTACAGTTCATATACTCAGAAAATAAAGATGAGAGAATTCACTTTCCAAACAACCTATATGCAAAGGGAATCAAAAAGAAAAGAGAGCTTCAAGATTAAGATGGTTTATGTACATTAGTTGGTGAATCTTCACAAGGTACCTATTAATAATTAAGAGAAAAATAATTAACTCTACAGTGGGAAAAAGTCTGTCAGAGACACCCTTAAATAAGTGAATAAAATTTAATATAAACTATAACAGGACATATTAATATCAGGAGTCAATGCATATAGACAGACACAGTATCACTAAAAGCAAACACAAATGAATGAACACAACTATGTATCATAAAAATATGACCATATAGGTAAAAGTTTAGTTGTCATGGTTTTGAAATGCAGTATATTAATAAGATACTTTTAGTGGAGTATACATATTCCATTTGTTCCAGACATTCAAAATGACCTAATTTCCAGGTTCTAGAAACTGATGCTAAACGTACATAGGAAGCTTCCAATGTGTTATTGCGATGCAGTAGTATCTGAAATAAAAACTGAATAAAGTCAGCACAAGACAACTTGAAGTTTTGCAAGTGTCAGAATAGATACTGAAGACCTAAATAAAATAAGATTAAATTTAACTCAGATTTCTGTCAAAAAACAATACATTAGATTTATATATGGTATTAAATTGAAAGTAGACTTGAATATGTAAGATGTTATATTGAGTTCATTTAAGAGATGAAAAAAGTAATCATTGTTCACAATTGTGAAAACATCATTGTCTAAACAAATAACTATTTCTATCTATACCTGTGTCTATAAATGATCTGTTAATTATCTATCTAAACATCCATAAGATGAGAAAGCATGCACCTAATAAAAGATGCATTTGATGGCTCAGCGTCTGTAGCTCAGCAGCTAGGGTGCCAGCCACATACACTAGAGCTGAATCCAGCCCGGGCCTGCCAAACAACGACAACTTCATAATTCTCTCTCTCGTGTTTTAATGTTCTCAGGCCAGTAGGGCTTGATAACCAGAACCCAGTAACTTTTGTCTAACGACTTCAACTGTTTGTATCTCCCAGAAATGGCAGAATTTCTGAAAGACAAAGGAGCTGAGATTGTGGACTGCCAACCATCAGTAGTCTCCAAGGTACATAGCATCTCATTAATTTTAACACAATCTGCCCTAATGCATGTAGTCTTATCTTAGAAAGCTTGAAGTGGGGGCTGGGAGCAGTGGCTAACTGTAATCTCAACATTCTGGAAGGCCAAGGCGAGTGGACTCCTTGAGCTCAGGAGTTTGAGACCAGCCTGAGCAAGAGTGAGACCCCATTTCTAAAAATAGCCAGGCGTTGTGGTCCCAGCTGTCACCTGTAGTTCCACCCGCTTGGGAGGGTGAGGCAAGAGAATCACTTGAGCCCAACAGCTTGAGTTTGCTGTGAGCTATGACACCATGGCACTCCATGGCACTCAACCCTGGGGCAACAGAGTTGCATTCTTTCTCAAAAAAAAAAAAAAGCTTGAAGTGTGAAGCATGCACAGATTAAAAAAAGCTTGCCTTCAGGACTTGCAGAAAAACAAATATAGAAATCATTGTTTTGTAACAGAATCTA